AAACAATAAAGTGCAAAAAGGGTGAAAAAGGGCTTAAAAGAGCCCTTACAAAGAGCTTTCTTTAGCAGTGAGTGGTGTAAAACTAATAAAAGATTAATAAAAATAAATATCTTGAATAAAATGCTATTTCTTTAAAAAAAATATTTGGCAGTATAGGGATTGAACCCACAATCTTGGCATTATTAGCATTACGCTCTGACCAGCTGAGCTATCCAGTGATAAGCAACAAATAAATATAATTCAATCATTCCAGTGTGCACACAAATTCAATAAATGGCACTCTTTGCACTATAGATAATTCAAAACAATCATTTTCAGTCAATATGCATATTCAATAAATATAAAGTTCAATATATATTGCATCCATGAAAAATCCAATAAATATGCATCATATAAATTAGTTGACATGAAATGTAAAAATAACCATCATACTTTTCATATTCAGCTTTTTATTAATTTTTCACCCCATGGGGGTAACCGCTCCAACCTGTGGCAGAATCGTGAATTACAATATAAAATGTCCGTTGTGTTTCACAGTGGCTGTTTCAGGTCCTGCTTATTAATTGGAATCAACCATCCAGTTTCAGGGCTGTCCTGGAGGAAACAAGGCAGTTACCATTTCGAAGTTGGGCAGTTTAGCAGCTTTTATGCTGTTTAACACCTGGGAATAATTTGAGTTTTTGACATTGCTTTTTTTGTACTCTGGCATGTTTTTTGTAGTCACCATGCTAAATGATGCCTCCCAACACAAGTCAATATCTCAGGAACCATAGATTTCATTCATAAGGATTAGGGGAATGTTTCTGTGCTTTTCAAATTTTAGGTTTTACATGATTTTTTTTAATTTTTTTTATTTTTTTACATTGCATATAATATATTACTGTATCTCAACATGCTACTGGTAGCCTAGATGCAGCCATTATTTATTTAACCATACTTTAGTCTTTTATATAATTTTGCCTTATAAACTGCAGTGAACCTATGGTTTAGGTTTGTAAACTCTGTTCTCCACCAATTTTTAATACTGTTTAGTTATAATTTCTGCACTGTTCAAAAGCGTTTACTCCTCTTCAACAGTTTTCCAGTTATAACAATCCTATTTAGGCACTTTGCAGGATCATAATTTGTTCTGGTGCTTCTGCCTATTTCTTACATTTCTGCAAGTCTTCAGCAGTTGACTTCAAACGTTTTGGCATTTCAACAAAAGCATTCAGCATTCACACATGGATTTTCGCAGGAAATATACTCTTTCTAGTTCTCTAAATGTCTTCCTTTAATGGTCATGAAGTGAGACCTATAGAGGGCAGCATCACGTCAACTCTCCCACTTAATCATACATGAGTATTAAAACAATTTTTTTCAACAGGATGAGTGAAAATATCAAAAAGAAGTATAATATAGTTGCTTCTATAATCACACTTACTCTGCTAACAGTCTGAGGCAAAAGCTGCTCCAAAAGCAGACCACCAGTGGCCCACTGAATGAAAAATCTGACTAGAAGAGTGACATTTTCAAAAGTTAAACACCTTTGATTTTTTTCTTTTTTCTTTTTTCTTTCTTTCTTTTTTTTTTTTTACAATTCATTTAAGTCCTAATCGGGCATTATTTTAAAACGAGCCTTGTAACGCAGGTCACATTTGAAAGCAAATCACCAATCGCTTTAGTATTGTTCTTGCTGCTTGGGTGCAGGAAAGCTTTGTCAATCAGGAACGCCGCATTTTATGTATACCGGAAACATGCTTTTATTTTTGAAAGCAGTTCATAACAGTGCTTACCGTAAACCATGTGAATGAGCGCAGTAACAACCATCAGCCTTTCCTGACTGCGCAGCGCAGACTGGATTGTGTCGCACGATTCCAGGATTCACGCATCACTGTGCGCCTGCAGCGTCACAAGATGAGTCCTTCCTCACGATGCGTGTGACTGTGGATTTGTTATTTGGCCTCCATCACTGTAAGGGTGGAAGTGACACATCCGCACCGTGTGACAGCTTCTCCGTGGACGCTGAAGGTTGACAGGATCTGCTGAGGATGCGCCCCGAGCGCACAGTTGATCTGTGTTGATGACGGGCTCCTCGGGCCCGCTTCAGCTCCTGTTTCAGCGCGGAAAGGATTATTTGTTTTTATACACCAGGAGGAGAAATGGGGAGCACGACCTCCTGCTGCGTGTCTGGCAGCCCCAAGCTGCGGAGAAATGCCCACTCCAGGCTGGAGCCATACCACCAGGAGTCGGATCTGAGCAGGGAGGAGACGGCGTGCAACCTACAGCACATCAGCGACAGGGAAAACATTGACGGTAAATTTATAGCCATAGATTTAGATTGCATAATATATGCAGAATAATTATGCTAGTATCTCTGAATCTTTCCATTTACTATTTATTGTGTTTCTAATTGCTTATTGTGGAATAATTATTATAGGATACAGAAAATGAAATGAAAACAGTTCCCAAATAATTTAAACATTAGACACTAAAGTAACACATTCATTATTTTTCTATCAGTATAAGTTGTTTTAAAGGCAAAACACACACTATTGTCTTCAAAATAATATGAAATAATACATTAATCTTATCTGTTTAATAACCCCAGAGGGAGAAAAATATCATCTCACTCCTCACCCTATAGTAAAGACGGACTTGGCCGCCATTAGTGCAGGTTTGTCACATGGATTATAGAGATGTTGCAGAAACATACGGATCAGATCAGGACATTCTTTGTGTTGGCCTTTGTTTTCAGTTTGTGCATGAAAGAAGCAGCAACTGTGCAACCCCCTCACCTCCAACTCCAAGCCTCCACTGATACATGCTAATATGCGTTACAATTGAGCCATTCAGGATTGGAAACGCTCTGCTGAATGGATTGCCTTATTTGCAGTCAGTGATTTCATATACATAGAAACTGTATGAGGCCTCCTGCTTCTAACAGAAATCTACTCGTTATTTTCACGACCCAAAAGAAAATAAATGTTTTGGTTCTTGCAATCGATGCTTGGTCAGCTATTCTACTCTTATTCATATTACCCAAACAGTATTTTTCTTTATTTCTTCTGATGAGGGCTGCAGGACGTTTGGAAAATGTCTCCATTATTCTCACCAAACTTTTGCATCCTGGTCACTGGAACTGAAATCTGGTGGAAATGTCAGGTAGTGAAAGTTAATCCAGCTCGACAAATATATATTTGGTAAGCAGTTTGATATTAAATGCTGTCATATGTTGACACAAAATAGGATGCAATCTGTACAAGTTTTCATTCATTTTTTAAGTATTTTGATACACTTCTTTAGGTTTTGTTATCCTTAAAAATGAGTGTTTGGTCAGTTGAATACTTTAAATTGTGCTATGAGTGCATGAACACTGTCCAGGGTGTGACCTGAGCTGATTCCCATCCGAGAAGATGTGGTTGGTCAGGAAGATCAGAATAAATATGCCAGAGAAACATGAAATATCTGGAGCATTTATTGAACAATAACCTCCATTTAGGTCTTCTTATCCCTTAAAGGATTGACTGAATGACCCACATCTTCTGCTTTACATTAAGCACACATTTCTTTCTCCGGTGGCAGTCGTTGTTCTCTATGTTGTTTACTTGAGTGGAGAAGCTACGGATCACATTACAGCCATTCTGATCAGCAGACGACCAGTGTCTGTACACCCAGAGAATATTGCAGAATATAATGGATCGTTTATTTTAAATAGAAAATTTGATCAAATTAATAAAGATAGGTGTGAAAAATGCACTACAATATATTTGATTTATTTATTTTCCCATATGCGTTTACAGTTTTGTCAACCATATTTATTTTTGTGTGTTTTTTAGAGCTAATTTTACCTGAAAGAAAAGCTGTTAGTGATGAAATAGTTGAAGCTCTCAGCAAGAAACTGACTCCAATCATACAGATGGAGCTTCAGTGGTTTAAATGAATGCACATGTATGTGGTAGAATGGCCTAGTTAAAGTTTAGACCTAAATACAATTGCCAGTGTGTGGCAAGACTGATTACTGTCCATCCAACCTGTTTGAGGGATTTCAGGAAGAAAAGTGGGAAAAAACTCAGTTTTTAGATGTTCAAAACTTGCATCTAAATGTCCCTAATAGATTGAGTTGCAGCAACAGATGATTGCACAAAATATTAACTCAAAGTCCTAAAATCATTAAAATATTTCAAAGTACCATTTTACCCCCACTTCACAATTATGTGCTGCTTTGAGTCAGTTTTTAAAAAAATGTAAAATCAAATAAAATACATTGATTTTTGTAGGTATTACGTCAAAAATGTTGAAACGTTTAAGGTTTGAACTTTTCCAAGGTGTTTTTATCACTAAAACAGAGACAGAACTGCTAACTTCAAAGAAAACAATCAGTCCCTATGTAATGTAGTTCATAAACATCTGTCTATTCAGTAATATCAGCCTGTATTGATCCGTCCTGTATGCTTGCATAGAGCATACATACCTCATACATTCTTCATGCTGTTTGTAGCAGCTGTTAACCTGAGTGCTTTGTCTGTATCAGGTTAAGATTTCCTTTTTGCTTGGAAATCTTCCACCATTGCATTGTAGGATAGAAATCCTACAATGCATGTTTTGGGGTATTAAACATGTATTTGATAAATATTTGCATAAATTGAAGGGGTCAGCTGACTCCTCTGGGAGGGATAAAGATGAGCCGTGCTGAGACGCAGTCTGTCTCAGTGACTGAAACCGGAGCGTATCTAATGTGCTCGCTCTGTTATGAATTCACTGGCAGTATGCGACAGAGATTACAGCGCTTCATTAGAATGTGCAGCTCCACATGAAGAGCGGAGTCCCTGGGAGGCAGCTGGGATCCAGTTGGAGCAGATAGACGAGGCCTCCGGGGAGAAACCAGCGCCAAGAATTCACGCCTCAATTTAAAAGTCTTACAAGTCGGCTTTCAAGGCGTCACATGTTCCTTTTACAGCATTAATAAGAAGTTGGTAGCATTTTAGTCTCACTGCTTTATAATATCCCACAATTAGCTCTGGTGTCGTATGAATAATATTCAAGGTTGTTTTGCAACCATTTAAAACATTTTGACAAACTATAAGCTGTTATCCAGTAGAATTAGAAGAATTAAGTACGCCTGATGATTTTATTAGCATGTAAAACCATCTTTAGCAGAAATAAATCTCAGTATTTGCTTTCTGTCTAACTTTATTATTTTTTTCTGCATTAATCTAGGACTGCACAGGTCTCTTACAATCACATTTTAATCATTTTGAGTGAAGGACTGATTCTAGGATGTGGCAATATGGCCTAAAATCAACATTATGATACAGAGAGCAGTTCACCTTGATAACAATAAACGGAGGACGACACTGACCCCAATTAAAAGAGGATATGACAGGACAGCATAATTACTTCACAGCATTGGACTGGCTTTTCACAATTATTTTTATTGCCACTTAAATGGAGTTTAAAACTACAGCATCTGCAAATCAATGAAGAGAATGTGCTTTTAGTTGGTAAGAGTTATTGAACAAATCAGTACTGCTTAACAAGTTTAGAAGTATAAAACAACTTATTTGTATTTTTCTCAGTCCCAGCAACTCAGTGCTGATTTTCCAAAGCATAACGCTTCCTCTACCGTGCTGAATGGTTAGTAGGAAGAGCTTCTCATTTATCAAACATTGTTCTAGAAGTTTTGTGCTTCATTTGGATTCATCTTTCAAACCCAAGTTGTGCAACCACATTTTTTGAGAGAAAATAAGTGTTTTCTTTTAATTTTCCAAACAAACCTGTCATGTTCAGATTCCTTTCTATTCATAAACCTTTAGATTTTGCTCATAAAAATCCTCTAAAAGCAGCAAAAGTATGCTTAGACTTTACTTTTACTTTACAGAGCAGAAATGTTCTATCAAAACAGCAAAGCTCAATCTTGTAACATATTTCTGAATCATAACTGGAAAATATATAAAACTGTGTAGATGAAACAAAAACAAGACAAAAATGTCCTGTGGATGCATGTAGCCCTCTAGAATTAAAGATCAGTTAAAAGAAACTGTTTTTTACATTTATTTCTAAACATTTAATTCATAACTTGAAGAAATACTGGGTCTAGTTTGGAAAATAAATAAACTTTTGTTCATTTTGTTGATCCTACATGATTTTTTTTAGTATAGCTAAACCCTGATTGAGGGTAATAGACAATGTTTGCAGTTTCATCCCACATTGTCCCATCCATCACTGCCACTAAAAACCATGTTAATTTTTCCGCTTCATATAGTTTTTCTAAAACTGTAAGAGTTGGAAATTTGGCTGCGTTTTCTGTTTTCAGAAGCCGTTGAGTTCGGCGCGATCCCGTTTGGACAAGCTGCCATTTGTAAGGCGGATAATCATCCACATGAGGATTATGGAGTTCAGGGAGTCATGGGAATCCTTCTGGGATACATTTGCAGAATATTTATTCATTTGCTTTCCCTGAAAAACCCAGAGATTTCAACTTTTAGTAACTGAAAACAAGAAAACATATTATCTGAGGGAAAGTTGATCAAGCCAAACGCAGCATCATGATTTTTTGATTTTTGTGGGCATTTTTTCGTTTAGTGTTGGTGTTTACCTTTAAAATAATGTTTCAGTGAAAAACACCCATGTTAACTGAACAACACAGTTCTTATTGTTGTATGCGTAGCTGACCCTGTAGCATGCTGTGAATCTTAAGGACATGTGATTGCTGCAGCAGTGTGTCACTGACCGACATTTTAAAGCTCCTCTAAGGCTGAACTGCTGTCAGCTGCTTTGGACAAACATCGAGAACGATGGTATTCACTTTACCACCTTTTACAATACAGGTTTATAACTGACATTACTCTTTTGAAGCACAGTTTATGGGTTTGTATTTGTGAAAGAAACAAGGTTACGTACACTACTTGGACACAATTATTGGGCCACCCTTTTAAATGACTGAATTCAGGTCTTCTAATTACTCCCACGCTGTGCAACTTTCTCCTGCTACTCTCCTGTTAAGCATTTGCTCCAGTTCCTACTGCAGTTTATGTTCTCTATTTTTTATTCTACTCCCCTAACTCTTATACTTCTGGAGTAAAATATTATCTGTTTTTGCCATTCTGGTCGTTTTGAACAACACCAGCTTAATATGAGCTGATTAATTAATCAGGATTGTTGCTCAGGCAGCATGTCCCTAGTTTATTGTGTATCAGGTATGCTGGTCACAGTTTGTCAAGACTAGCTTTTAAACCTTTACCTTTATTAGAGTAATGTGTGTCTTTCCTGTAGTGTGTTTTCAGCAGTGTGCAGCAACTTATTACTCTTGATATCTGTAACTATGCTGTAGCTTCTTTATGGCAGATTTAAGTGATCATTTGTCCTCATGTGACTGTGCATCTGAAAGCTTTTCCTTCTTGATTCCAGAAGAAAACAAAATTAATCGCTACTTTAATTGAATAAACCAAGGGTGAAAACAATGCTGTGAAGTTTACAACAATAAAAACCAACATGAATATTTCCCAAACTGCCATGTTTTGTTGCTTATCATCTCTGACAGTAACTGACTTTTGCTGAAACATTGAAGTCTCAGCCTCACTGAACCCGACGGAGCCGAAGAGGCTGGAAGATTTAAAGTAAAATCTGATAAACTAACATTACAAACAGACACCAACTCTGGAGGAGGAAGATGGATGGGGACAGCGAGAACAAGAGACAAAGTGGTCATATGAGCTGCCTTATTTTCCACAAAGCTGACTGTGTTTTTCTGAGGCATCAGCTGATGCCGTCTTATTTAGGTACAGTATGAAGGCAGGAAGCGCTTTGCTCTGCACAGCTCCTCCAGTCAGCCTCTGTGTCGGGAATGTTGCTCAGTTATTAGCTGGAGGTTTTTGATGTGCCAGACATTGGACTAGGTCAGCAACCTTTACAATCCACAGACATTTTTTCCCTCACTTCTGAGTGAAATGTGTGCAAGGCTGCAAAACCTACATGACAAAAAAACTCAGAAAACGTCTCAAGTTTTATGCCTGTAATGTGAAATGTATTCCTTTGTCAGAAAACCTCTGTTTTTAAATATATTTTTATATATTAACATTCTTCTTTGACTTAAAGAGCAATGTTAATTTGATATCAAGAGAATTAATATTTTTCTTTTTACACTGTCATGATATTATGTCAGTGCAGAACTCAGTATGGCATAAAGCATCAGATCTTATTTTTATGTTTATATGATAGATAGAAAATTCTAGGAAATTAATAGAGAATATAAAATAATTTTTTAAAACTGAGATTTATTTAATATTTTATCAGGACTAATCTAAGAGCTGAGATATAAACTTTATCAGTTGACATGCATCCTTATAATTTTCTTAATTTCTTTTTGCTAAATATTTGAGTCAGAGGCATTAAACCCTTTATTTATTAGGATTTTGTTTTTAAATCTTGAACACTTTTTCCCTTCTAAATGGGGAAACATGAAACAGAATGTGATACTGATGCATGTTGTTAAAATAAAGAGGACTTTAATCCTGAAGCATCTGATCTGACGGCTTCTAACAAGCATTAAACAAAATCTTCTTTCAGATCAATATTCATTTTAATTTAAAGTAAATGAGTTTATTCATCATCGCAGACTGAGATAGAACCTTAACATCTAATTTGGTTTTAATATATATATAAGATGAGGGAACATAATTTTAAAACTATTAATTCTGCCTGAAAGTATAAGATACAGTGAACGTTTGTATCAGTTCTTGTAGAAACAATTCACCCATATGTATCTTTTTAAAAAGGCCTATAATGTTTGCTTGGTGTTATATTAGACTACATTAATGGAAGCATTTTTGTGTGCAGGTTGCATGTTATCAGTGCCTTCACAGGCAGCTCTCCTCTCCCCTCCAGGCGTTTGGGGTCATGTGGAGGTCATGTGTATTTAACATTGTCTGATTGAACCAGAAGCCAATCATTGGCGATTATTTTGTCATATAAAGATTTCTAACAGTTAAGCTAATAGTTCAAGCTCTGTTTTTTTTTTTGTTTTGTTTTCTTCTAAATTTATTTCAAGAAAAAGGAACAAGTTGTGTCATTATGAGAGGATTCTGGTACCGAAGGTCCAAATATGAAACTGTTATTTTTTTTTACATGTAAAGATCCAACTGTAATCCATCCTTTGAATTTCTGAGACTTTTTTTATGCCTGAATGGTTGCTACTGAATAAATGACCCCAGCTGTATTAGTTACTGTACATTTAGCATTAGTACCATTCAAATTGGTCCAGTTTCTCCTGCGAAATGAAACCATTAAAGATCAGCATGCATGACTGAGCAGGAAGCACGTTCCCTGACTGCATGGGAGCGAAACATTGTTCACGCTGCCGCGGATTCCAACAATAACGCAGAAATCACATTCACAGCAACAGACTCTGCAGATCTCACAGGCATTCTGTAAATAACTTCATAAAATAATTTAAAAAATCACTATTCAAACTGTAATAAATAGGTATCTTTATTTATCACCTGTAAGCTTATCTAAAGATTTCAGAAAAATTCTGATATTTTCAAAGAATAGAACAACAAAAAAGTGTATTTGAATTGTTTCTTACAATGGTCATTATAGACAAAAAAAAATAGGTTTGCCTTGCTTTTTTAAAATATATAATTTATGAAAAAATGCAGTAATACTGCCATGAATGAAATCATATTAATGCAGTGCATTGAGGTTGTATTACGGTGAATATAGTCACCGTAAATTAAAATACAGTCTTAAAAACGTTACTGAAGTTGCTTTGTAATTCATAAAAACATATTAATAGTGTAGAAACATATTAACTGCATAAAGCACATTTCACTAGAAAGCGCAAATTCTGTGAAAAGATTGAAGGAAGAAGCAAGAACAACATATTCAACTAATAATCATATTTTTAATAGATGGATAAAACTGGAAACGTGGAGCTGAAGAGTGAAGGCTACACCTTTAATCTCGCTTTGGTAAATGAGATTTTTTCTCTGGGCTCTCAGGTCTTTGTTCTCTCAAGCACCTCGAAGAAAACAAAGGATTTTCCTCCTTTGTTCCTTGACTTAGATAAGAAAATCTTTTAAACCCTGAAGGCTATTTGTCTTTTTCAGGACCAAAGAAAGAAAAAACCTGAGAAATAAATGGGATTAATCTGTTTTTGTAGAAGCTTATGGTAACTGATAGCAGCATTTGAGAATGTGCTGCAGATTACTCCAGCAGATTACAATGCTCATCAAGAACATTATAATTTCACAGCTTAGAAACATTTTGATTTTATAAGACGGTTTTTGGTGCTGCAGCGTTTCCACTGCAGCACCATGGAACTGGAGCTGATCTCTGTAGAGCAGGGAGGACTTGTTGTTTGTTCATTATTCAGGAGCAGGAAGGCAGAGAGGCAGGCTCTCCTGGTGACGGGTTTCAGTTCGCCACAGTGAAGCGCTGTTCTTCGTCAGAGTTTACTTCAGGTGATGAGTATCGTGTATCAGCAGTGACATGAGATGCTGTAAACTCTGGGAGCTCCCTGATGGATCCTGAAATGTTTTCTGGACTGTCAGGCTGAAGCTGCTACAGAGCCACAAAATAACCTGAGGAAACAAAAATAGCAGTTTGAAAATATGATGATTTCATTTATCAAGAGAAACAAGCTATTCAGACCAACCTGGACTAATAAAAAACAACCACAAAACCTTTTTGAAATAAGAAATTAACTATGATTAGCAACCTTTTATTTTGGAAAGTTGAGTTTAATTTCATAATTCATTACTTAAACAGAACCGATATGAAAACTCAAAAAGGAAAATCAATGATATTTATTAACATAGAAAGGATGAAAGAGGTAAACATATCTTAATGTTTGGGATTTTTCAAACCTCAGATCCATTATCCACAAATAGAGAAAACATAAAACTGATTAATTTTTACAGCAGACACCAGAATTACAACAAAGTGAGCACAACTCCAAAAAGTGTTTGCATGGTTGTTCTGCATGGCTTTGTCCCTTAATAAATTGAATCTGTATTTACCCTGATCATCTTTGTCTTATATAATATTTTATCTTTTCACTGTAGTTTGAGCGTCCAGTTACAGAGTGTTTTTGTTGCAGCGCTTGGCTGAGTGGAACAGGCAGCATCACATTTTTGACACATTCATGGGACTGTCAGAAATGTTTCCACAGAGATAGAAAACAGCGTGTGTGTATGAGTGTGTGTGTGGGAGAGTTTTTCACCAGCTCAGCTGGAAAAGGTCAAACTGCAGCTCTTTTCCATCATAACGTAACAAACATGATCCCTGTAAATAACAGCAACAGTTAAAGAAGAACAGCAATTAAACCTCCACTTAAACCAAAGCTTCTCAAACTTTAAACATAAGAAATGGTTCAAAAGATGGTGGCAGTGTCACCAAAAGTGGGATAAATTTGCTACTCCACAATGGAGACGCAAATACATTTTAAGTTTTATGATATGCCATATCTGATTTTGAAGAGCTTTAGATATTTATGCATGTTTATGATTCTCCTTAACTTATCTCAGATTGATTATTTCTCTGTGTTTATTTTATTTGATTGCAGAGTTGAACATGGAGTACAACCCATCAGACCATCCTCGGGCCAGCACTATTTTCTTGAGCAAATCTCATAATGACGGTGAGCAGCCTGTTTTCCTTAATGGTTTTTTTCTCAGGCTGTGTGAAGATTCAGGAAAATCAATGTGGAAATTGTCTGGTAGGATCTACGACATTCATCAACATCTTCATCTTAATCTTCAAGGGTTGTAAACAACTGGGTCTGATCATTTAATGGTTATTTGTAAATTGGCTTTCAGTAAATTATTCAGCTCATGTAGTTTTCCAAGCTGTTTTCAGTGTTTTTTTTTTCAAAACATGTCTAGAAATAAGTAACAGACTTTCTTCCACTAGAGGGCACTTTTAAAAACATGCTATGAAAACTTTTCTCTTAATTAAATATCTGAATGTACAAAACGTATGCAACCATTATACACAATAAAAAATGTTTGCATGTATGTTTAATTATGACATTTAAAAAAAAAAATTCCTGAAGATATTAATTTATTTATTACAAATTTAAACAATCACATGATTTTTCTCTGATTGTGGAAGTTAATGAACAGTAAAAAAAAGAGAAAATAACCATTTATTTCTGACAACCTCAATGTGTAAAAATGTTTTTTGTGGACATTCAACAGATGTCTACTTACAGAGAAATTCAAGATATTTTTGAAACAGACATTTTTTTAATATTGCAGACATATCATTGTACCAGTGTAAGCTTTTCACAGGGAGATGATCTTGAGTAAAAATATGATTTCATTGGTATTGTGTTTACACAAAAATTGTTAACATGATGCGGTTGCTTTTATTTAAAACAGAAAGCAGTTGTTATTTCCACTGCTGCTTAAATAAAATAACATATTGATTAAAAATCTATTTGTAACATTCTCTCAAGAGTTGTTGTCTGAGGTGCAGAAAGTTTTAAGTTTGCTGGTTTTTCTGTTTTTCAGATGTGATTTACAGGAATGGTGAGTACTGTGGTTTCATCTCCCTCTGGTGGCCAGACCCTCTCGGTGCGCCGCTGGTGTTCATTTGCAGCTTCTACCACTTTGAGCAACATGTTTGTGATTTGCAGTTAACAGAGTTGATTCCTTTTTTGGTTTGGCTTCCTGTTCTAACAGAATGTTGTGCAGGTTGATAGCTTTCAACTTTTGCATGTCGCTTACTGCAACTTACAGTTGCAATCATAAATCATTTTTCTGTTTTTCATTTTTGTCCATTTTTCATTTTTACAGTGCGAGAAAAACGAAAGAGCCTCTTCATCAATAATGTGAGTGCAGAGTAAAAACTAAATTAAGTTGTTGATCATCAGTTTTTAATGCAATTCTTCCTGTTAAATATGATATTACACATCACTGCATTCCCAGAATCTGTCACGTTTCATGTGGGTCAGACAAAACAACGCTCGCTGTAATCCAGTCTGTGTGTGTGTGTGTGTGTGTGTGTGTGTGTGTGTGTGTGTGTGTGTGTGTGTGTGTGTGTGTGTGTGTGTGTATGTGTGTGTGTGTTTGTAGCACGGCAGTCTGAGGAGAAAATACAGCTCCTGCTCAACCATCTTCCTGGACGACAACACAGTCAGCCAGCCCAACCTCAAATACACCATCAAATGGTTGGAACATGAAAACTGTGCATTCATAGCAAAAATATTTCTGTTTTCTGACTTTTTTCTTTTCTTTTGCTTTCATAGCGTCACTTTAGCCATTTACTACCATATAAAAAACAGGTGAGAAGCCCTGACAGGCATCATCTGTCCACTTGATGTAAAATTTTAGATTAAGGATTTTTTTTCTTTTTGTCACTTGAAATTTCTGAATCTGAACAGAATCTGTAGCGTTTTATTTTTTTGGATGTTCTGTTGTTGCTTGACATGTCTTAAGTTGAACCTTTGAATTTATGTCCAAAACTTCAAAATAAATATTTGTTTCCAATTGCAGAGACACAAATGGAGGCATGCTGTTGGATATCTTTGATGAAAAGCTTCATCCTCTCTCAGTGAGTTGTCTGATTTTATTCTTTTGCATGTTTTGCATGCTATGTTAGATTATGATCTTGTTTCCATGATGCATTACACAACGTTGTGATAGAAAAAAGTTCATATCACTTGAACCTTTTCATGTTTTCTAACATTGTAGCCATAAACTAGTGAATTCAGTTCAGATAAAAGTGAAAGAAACACAGTCCAAATATATAATTGTTAGTATAATTGCAACAAAAGGGGATTTCACAGAATTTTGAATTAGTTTTATAACAGGAAAAATGTAGTTTTTTAATATTCATGCATGTTTTTGTCAGGTGAGAAATGTGAAAAAGAGTTAGTGATATAAATCATTTTTTAAGGTAAAATGTGAGGACTGTTTTGTTAGTAAGTTTATTTATAGGATTATTAAAGAGTTTATTCAATCTGGGGGTAAACTCTTCAATAATTATTTAAGTCCTTATGGATTTTGGTGCCAGCTCTCATATTTTATTAAACTATATCCTGATGTGTAAGAGCTTTAGAGTCACTAATAACTTCCTTTTTTTCATTTCTGTCCGTCTTTTGCTCCCGGTCTTCCAGAAATCAGAGGTTCCCCTGGACTACAACCAGCATGACCCGGAGCAGAAGCAGATCTACCGCTTCGTCAGAACCCTGTTCAGCGCTGCTCAGCTCACGGCTGAATGTGCTATCGTCACACTGGTGAGATTTCTGATCATACTGCAAACATACGCAACTCGTTCCTTAATGTGAAACAAAATGTGGAAAATTACTTCCACCGGTCTTTGCATTAAACGTGCATTAACTTTTTTTTGCAAAGGTTCTCAGAAGTAGAAGGAGGAATTCAGCACAGAGTGAATGAATACTTGCAAAGTTATTCAGGCATAAAATTGCATGAGTAAAATCATTTTCTTGTTTGCACTGATTTGGCTCTGTAGGTGTACCTGGAGCGACTGCTGACTTACGCAGAGATTGACATCTGTCCTGGAAACTGGAAGAGGATTGTTCTGGGCGCCATTCTGCTGGCCTCAAAGGTCTGGGATGACCAGGCTGTCTGGAACGTCGACTACTGTCAGATCCTCAAGGACATAACTGTGGAAGACATGTGAGTCAGCTCTGTCTGCGTGCCTTGGTTCGATTTAAAAGGACCAGATTCGAGTGCAAGTTGCACAGAGCATTGTGAGGCTTTAATAGCGAAGAAAGCAGAACTTAGGAACAGTTTAGCATAATCAGAAAATAGTGACGGGTTCAAACTTTCAGTTTTTGGAAGTTGCCAACGCAGACTGGATAAGTTGGATGGATGGATGTAAATAAAATAAAGCTAAGCAAAAAAAAAAAAAAAAAAAAAAAAAAAAAATTTTTGGTTTTTTTTTGCAACAAGCACAAACGG